GACACCGTCTCGACAGATCCTCCATGGGCCAACCTTAGTGAAGATCGTTGCAGACTTTTCCCATATTACAAAAGCGCCATCCCTGGGATTTGAACATGAGATCTTTCCATAACGTTTGGTGAGAGTGACAACTAGACCACTTTACTAAGTCGCTACACCTCACTTTTGATAATCTTTACAATATCTTCTTATAATTAAAATCTTAGTTTTTTTTTTTAATAGATAAAAATTTTCTATAAAAGAGATTTAAAATCTAATCTTCATCGAATCTTGAGATTTGATACCAAAAGCAATATTGGTGCTTTTATAAATAATTAATTTAATAATTAATTATTTAACAATGTCTATTCAAAGAGATATTGTAACTTCTTTCTCAAAATATTTACAAATAAAACAAAAAGCATTTTATAAACATTTTATCATATTAAATTCTATATCATTTTGTGATATTGATTTTAAATAATTTTATGTAATTTTATATAAAAAACAAAACCCCAAAGAGCAATTCGATCTTTTAAAACATAGCGAACATATTAATTTTTTTGACTTTTTTAAATATAAATATAGCAATGATAAAACTAATTTTTGAAATGGGAAAGAACATACTTTTTGTGAAAATCTATAGCAGTATGATGATAAATATTTTAATTGGGAATGTCCATTCAGAAGGTGCTATAGATACTTTAAATTATTACAAAGCATTGATAAAAATACTCCTAGTAATGATCGTTTAGGTTCTTTAAGTGAAAAAGAATCTTTAATGAAATTTTAAAAGTTATTTCGCGATTTAAAAATTGATTATGATTTATTTCTTTGAGTTAAAAATGTTAATTCTACTAATTCTTTTATCTACAAGAATGAACAACAATTACTTAAAAATTTTAAAACAAATATTTTAAAAAGGAAAAGAAAGAAAAAAAATAAAGATATTATAATATTTGCAAATAACAAATTAGAAAAATTTAAACAAGAAGAATACAAACTACAATTGCCTCAATAGCAACCTCAATCTCCATCTATCTAGTGTTTTACCAGGCAGATTTTTATTTATGTAATTTATATTTATTATTATTATATAAACAACAATACCAAAAAATCAAAAAGAAAATAATAATAAACGTTTTACTCCTTTCTCAAAATGTGAAATTTTTTCTGCTAATAAAATTAATAAATATGTTGCTCTTAAAGAGTAGCAATTAAATTTAGAAATTTGTTGAAAAATGTTTTCCTGATACCAATGATTGTTTAAGCTTTTTAGAAAGTTTGAAAAAACTCCAAAATGAACAAATTGCTTTAATCTCTCAAATTGAAGAAAAAATGCCAATCAACAGAAAGAATAAAATTACGATATTGCTAAACAATGGTTGGAAAAAGTTTATAAAGGAACTAGTTTGGGTAGTTAAAAAATATAAAAGATTTGAAAGCTAAATTAGAAACAGAAGCTATTGAAGAAATTGAAGAGGAAGAAGAACAGGAAGTAGTAGAAAAAGAAATGAAATAATTTTATAATATTTTTTATATATTTACTTACTATTTAGTTTTTACCAAATAGAATTTTATTTGTATAAAAATGAAAATGAAACTAAATAATCTTAAAATTCAGAATATCTGTTCAACTTTAATATTAAATATGTTACTAAAAATAATGAAACATTTATTATCCGAAGAAGTTTACGTAATCATAGAATGCCAAACTATAATTTTACAAAAAAATGTAATTTAAATTTAAAACTTATTTATTGTGATAGTTGTGATTCATTATTCAGACGAAAATATTGTAAAAAATATAAACGAAAACTTTTTAATGAGGAGAATGATTTTGATAAAGACATTATTATTGATATTTCAGATTATAAGTCAACAGCATCTGAAAAATTTTCATCATATAAAAATGATGATTTGTTGTAAATGATAATAATAGTGGAAAAAATTATTATTGTAATGATTGTAAAGCATATCATTTTTCTGAATTTCATATTTGTGTTAGTAAATTCGAATATATTTTTAAACAAACTGGAAAAATTGATAATAATAATGTATTTTTTAAAGATATAACTTTTAATAATAATATCTAATTAGTTTTATAACTAATTAGATTTTTAAATACATAATTATTATTTAAATTTTAAAATGGCTAAACAATTGTACAATAACGCATTAAAAGATTATAACAATTATCAAACATGTAATTCAACTTATTTTACTTACTTAAATACTTTAAAAGCTATTTCAAAACAAGGGTTTTTTGGTGATTTTACAATTGCTAAGAACCAAATCACAGAATTAATTGCTATAAATCTTAATTTATTACAACAAAAAAAAAAATCATTGATAAATATGAAAATAAAGTCAGAGAATTTTCTATTAATTTATTGGTTAATCCTGACCGTAAATTTTGGTTAAATCATCATAATAATAGTAAAAAAGATTTCTGGAATTATATTCAATCTGTATATGGACTTGTAAAAAATGAAACACATGGAAAATGTTCTGTTCATGAAACCTTTGAAGAAACTAAAATTAAAATTACAGAGAAGCAATTAAATTATATTGATAGTTATACTGGATTTTGTAGATTTCCTGATAGAGCTAAATATATGTTTAGAACATCGATTTATTTTACAATTATAAATCAAATTCCTGAAAATACAAAACCGAAAAACATGATGATTGGTTTCTTTGCGATATGAAAGATCTTAAAGATCAACTTCTTACTGATAGTTTAAAACTTAAATTAGATAAAATTATTGATAGTGTGGGAAGGAAATGTACTAGTTTGAAGTGTAGTAAAAAAAAAAATCAATAATGAAGATAATGATGTTAAAATTGAAAATGAAGATTATTTAGTTAGCACTCCATCATATGAAGAAGGAGAAATTGTAGAAAGAATTTAAAACATGGAAATTTTAGAAAAGAATAATTTATTATTTTAATTTTTTTTATTAATAAATATTATTTTATTTTTTATTCAATCTTCTTTGACCAAATAGAATTTTAACTACATAATTATAATGTTTTTATTTTTTATTATTAAATTAATTGTTATTATTCAAAAACTCTTCCCAACGATCACCTGGACCAAAATTTTCAGCTAAAGAAAGACTAGAACTACTTGTTGAAAAGTCGTAGCCAAAACAGTGGTTTGTCTAGAGGTCAACTACTACTCTCGGGAACTCCTCTAAAAGGACATTTGGCATGCAAGCCAGGAGCATTATTATACAAGATAATTGGCAGGCAGTGCCCTTGTATAAAAAATCTGGGTAGATTATGGATGAGGAAACCCAACTCCGTCAACGAAGCTGTTAGACCATTACTTCAATGAAGAACACAGGGGAAACAACAAGAAACTCTACTTTTTCAATACACTCATTTTGAAAATTTTGAAAATACTTGCAACTCTCTTCTCTCATTTTCGCTTTCCGTTGGTTTCCAAAATTTTTTTTTTCAAAAAGTAGGGATTTGGCTTACCACCTTCAAAAGATCAACATTGTTTACATCCCAAATCTGAAAAGCCGAGTAGATTACAACCACGTGTTCGATAGATATAGTGCTACTAATTTGGACAGGTCCCGAGTTCTAGGTCAGAACCAAATATTCCAGAGTCAGTTATATAGTTGGAAAAAACAATAACATTAAGGCAAAGCTTTATAGTAGAAATATACAAATGTTATATTTGTTATATAATTTTTATACTTGCCTAGTACGGGTTATAATAGTGTATTTTTTTTTTCTTTTTTGTTTGTTTTTGTGCTATTTCTTGATAGAGGTAGCTGCTATTTCTCACGGGTGATAGCTTTTCTTGTTTAGCCTGTCAGAGCTTATCTCTTTATTTTTTCTTTTTTTACATTTTCTGTTTCCCCTATTTTTATTCCTTATTTTTTTCTCTTTCTTGTTTTGTATCTTTTTTGTATGTAAGCTTCTTTTCTTCTTGATATATGTTCTAGTATTGAGAATACAGAACATTATTTTCTTTTGTTCTCGGTGAAGAAAGTAAGAATGAAGGAATAGGCTCTTGGCAGGCTAACAAGGTTTTCTAACTTACATGTAGATTGGTGTGACATGTCACTCTTGAGCATACTAGATGCAGCCAGGTGATGTCAGGCTTGCAATTTTTTATACTATCATTATTCATTCTATCCAAGATTGTTTAATAAAGTATTGTATTTAAGCTCTGGCAAGACTGTCAAAGAGCTAAAAAAAATAAAAAAAAATTGTTATTATTTTACATATTTAAGATGTCCAAGGTTCTAACTTCTAAAAAAATAACTTGTTTACTGAGTATTATCTAGTGTTATATTAAGTTATAAGTTATCGCTGGGAAAATGAGTCGATGAGCATTAGAGAGAAATCCTGTGAATAGTCATTTGAAATCATTTCTGTAGAACCTAATATTTTACATTTTGTAAAAACAGCTTAGTATTAGAATTTATCTGTGAAAACAGCTTAGTATTAGATTTGTGATTAATATGATGATGATATACTCATTTTATTTTATTTTTTAGATTTTAACTAAACAAAAAGGAGATGAACTTGAATTATTTTTACTTAAAACACTTCGAGGAAATCAAATCAAGTATTATGCTACTCGAACAAAATACAAAATTGATACTAAATTCACTCCTATTGGTAATAGTGGAATTGATTTATTTGGAAATTATAAATTAATGAATTATATAATGCAAGTAAAAAACAAAGAAGATAAATATCATGTTGGTCTAGCAAATATTCGTGAATTTTCAGCAGTATTAGCTAAACAACTCAAAGGAACTATTGGATTTTTTGTTACAAATAAAAATATTCAATTAATGCTAAAAACAAAGCTTTAAATTCAAAGCAAAAAATTTATCTTTGTAACGTTGAAAATATTGTTGATCAAATTAAAATAGCAAAAAAATTGGTAAAAAAAAAAGAATTATTATTTATTTTAGAAGATTTTACTTTAGAAAATCTTGAAATTAATTCACTTGATGAATCTTCCACTATTTTTGGTATGCATTTAAATAGAAATATTAAAATAGAAAAATTATTAATTAAACATAGTAGTGGTAATTGTTTTAATCCTTATTAAAATATCTATTTAGTAAATATTCACCAAATAGAATTTTAGTTATATAATGGATTGGAAAGGCTATTAATTAAATTTATATATCTATTCAGTCTATTAACTGAATAGATTTTTAAATATGTATATGGAATTAATAATTATTTTTTTAATTTCTTTAATCATATTGTTGTTAAGTGATAATTTCAAAATGACAAGTAAAAAAAGATGTATTTCTGAAGTTGAAGAACTTAGTGAAGCAGTTAAAGATGATTTACAATCTCTTACTACAAATTATTTAAAATTTCTTGCTAAAAAAAGAAAATTAAAAGAAAAGGAATTGATTATTCCAGAAGTTATTTTGATAGCTAAAACTATTGGAGTGAGAAAATCTGTTTGTGCTAAACAACTTGAAAAATATCTTACTGATGAAGGATATAAAGTTTACTGAATGAAAGAAGTTCTCTTCAAATTCCAGAAGCATTAAAATTATTTTATAAGACAAAGAATTCCCTTTTCTTTCAATCAGAAATTACTGCAAAATATAAAGAAATAATTGATATGATTAATGAGTTGAGAGGTTATGATTATGTTATTATTTGATAGAGAATATCAAGAAATTGAAATTTTTACAGAAATTAATATCAAAAATGAAAATATCAAGAAATTTTTAAAACAAAAATGTGATTTAATTGAATTAGAACTTAATTCTTGAGTTATTTATATTAGACCAGAAAAGGAAACAACATTTCAAAGAAAGGAGAAAAGACAACCTACTTGGAAAAAATATAATCTTGAATATTTGGGAAAATTATATGAGAAGTATGAAGAATCTATTCAAAGAATTTACCCTACTCACTCTGTTTTTAATAATAATGTTTATATTTGTGAAAATTGTTGTAATTCAAGTTAATAATTGTAATATTAATAAATATTATTCATTTTTTAAAAACTAAATAATTTTATATTACATTTAATTTATAATCTAATCAGTATTATATACCAATTAGAAATTTGGTTAAATATTATTTAATCAAAATGTGTAATTATCATCAATTTTGTATTGATCATAAAGTTCTAAAAAATGATTTTTAAAAAAAATTATGATTTTAAAAAATATCAATTATTTTTAAAAAAATATCAACAAATGTTAAATCTTATTTGCAATATTAAAAATTTTCAAATTAAAACATCAATTAATATTTGGACATTAATGGGAATTGCAAAGAGGGTTGAAAAGGAATTACACTCTTTGTCCAACAATTTATATATTATTATTGAAGATGAATCTGAGGAAGAATTTTAATACAAATAAATTTATCTAATTTATTCAGTTAAATAACTAGATAGTTTTTTATTTGTATAAATGTCAAATAGAACTGAATTTACAAATTCTTTTTATAAAAATCCAAATCTATTTTTTATTTATGATGCAGTTGATGCATCTAATTATAACAACTATTTGTTATGATTATATAGTGTTTGTACTAATAGCTAAAAAGTAACTATAAATGTTGTTATTAAAGATATATTTTTTGATATAAAATTAAAGGATGAAAGTTTAATTGATTCATATATAAATGAATTCACTCCAGAATCATATGAGATAATTACAAAACAACTCTTTAATTTAATGGAAAATCATAAATTTCTCTGTTTATATTTTAAAACACATAAAGAACAAAAAAAAGTTTTACAGCAGTTAAAAGATAAAATAGATAATTTAAATGATTTAAAAGCAAATGCTTATTTAACTAAAGATGAGAAGAATTTTGGAAATGTTATGATACATATTCTGATAATTTGACATGTTATTATAGAAAAGTAGCATATGAAAATGATTTTGAATTAGTTAGATAGTATAATTTAAAATCTGGACGTATTTACAATAATATGTCTATTACTTTAAATAATATTGAGAAAGCTGATACAAATAACTTACCAAAATTTTTCATAGGTACATGGGATACTGAATGGGAAGTGAGCGTGGTTCTGGATTTTTTCCAAGTGGGGAGGAAAAGGAAAATTTCATTTATATAATTCAATTTGATATATTTATTTACAATAATCCTAAACCTTTTAAATGGTACAATATTTCAATATTGCCACTTAATTTAACTTTATTTTTTTCGAAATATTCACAAATTTGTAAAAAAGATTTTGTGTTTATAGTAGTAAAAAATAAAGAGAATTATTATTAAAATTTGCAGAATTATATAGAAGATATAATGTAGATTTTGAAATTGGATATAATACTGGAGAGTTTGATTGGCCAGAAGTTCTAAAGAAAGTAAAACTACTTGGAATTGGTGATGAATTTACAGAAAAAATTCTTGGTAAAAAATCTAAATTAATATCAAATATTTACAAAAAGGATATACGAGTTATTGATAAAGATTTGGATGAAATGAATAAAAAGTATGAATTTGCTGGATATAATTTTAGAACAAGAGAAATAAAGACTAACCCAATGGAAAATATGCACTGTGAATATTTTTATAAACAAGACACAGTATTTTTAAATCTCTTAATATAGGCAAAAAAAACTTTTCAAACAGATATTACACATACACTTGATCACATATTAAAGAAATGTGAATTACATGGTAAAGAAAATCTTCTATATCTCCCTAAAGATACTAAAAATATACATTCAATGTATATTTATATTATGGCTATTAGATATTATAGTAATCTAGAAAAATTAAAAAAAAACAGCTCAGAACTTATCATTAAAATGTGATATTGATTTTCAAATTTGTTTGAATTCGTTAGTAGTATCTAAAGATATATTAGAAAAATATGCTATAGAAGTAGCATATTATTGTTCAATTGACACTTTACGACTACAAGAACTTTTAATTAAACGAAATATAATAGGAGATTATATTCAATTGGCTGCAATTTCATGTCTTACAATATCTAATGTAATTCTAAATGTGGTTGGAGGAGTAGTATTTAATAAATACAGAAGAGATGCTACAAAACATGATATATTAGTATCATTGATTTGTAAAGAAATAATTGAAGTAGATAATAAGTATCAAGGTGCACTTGTTTTAGAAGTAAATAAAAATGTTGAAAATCAACCAGTAGCAATGTAGATGTTAATTTATTTTATCTAAACGCTATAATTCAAATAAATATTGATTCATTGACATTGGTTAGAAATGAATCTGATGATCTTTTATTATTAGTTGTTAAAGATAAAGGGAGAGTTTATGAAAAATTCAAACCACATTACAATGATGAAAAATATATGGGAGTAATGCTATTGATGTGTAAAGAATTATTAGAAGAAAGAACAAAAGCAAAAAAGAAAATAAAAGAATTTGCGACTGATCCGATAAAATATGCATATTGGTCATCTTTATCAAATGCATTAAAGATAACAGCAAATATGACTTATAGATATAGTGGGTCTAGATTTTCACTTTTTTTTAATCCAAAAGTAGTATCTTTAGTTACTGCTGCTTATAGAAATATACTTGGAGATGTTATTAAGTTTATGGAAGAAGAATTAGAAGAAATTGGTGATATAATATATGGCGATACTGATTCAATATTTTATACTATATTAAGGAAGATACTAAAGGAAATAAAATTAAGATACATGCTAAAATATCCTGTTTAAAATTTAGTTGGAGATATAATTAAACGATTATGTTTTGGAGAAAAAATTAAAAAAACTATAATGATATCTAAAATAATTCAAGATAAAGTTAATCAATTTCTTCAAGAAAAAGACAAAAAATACATAAAGATGGAATATGAGAAAACATTATATCTAGCTTGTTTTTTTACAAAAAAAGTATTATTATGGTATTATTTATGAAAACCAACCTGAATTTGATAACCCCAATTTATTACTTAAAGGATTAAAGGTAAAAAAGTATAATATATCAGAATTTAATAAACAACTTGGGATAGAAATGATATGAAGCACATTAGAATTTAATGAAAAACATCAATTGAAAGAGATTACTAAAGAGCCTAAACAAGTTGCTTGTGAAGTGCTTTTGAAATATACTAAAAAATCGCATGATGTAAAACTATTTACTTTGAACGCAAAATTTAATCCAAAATATAGTAGAAGTGTATGTAAATTTATAATTGAAAACAATAACAAAAAGGAAATTGTACTAAATAAGATGAAACATAAACTGAAAAAGAAAGGAGAAATAAGATGGTAATTAATTTTGAAACAAAGTTAAAAGAAAGAGGGAAAACTTTACAACCTGGATATATTGGATTTGGATTATAAAAATATTGGATATAATAAACCAGAAAAACATAGAATAGATTTACTATATTATCTAAAAAGTTCAAAAGATTTATGTACTAGTTTTTTTAGATGTAATAAAAAAGAAGCAGAGAAAAAAATAATTTTGTTATATAATAAAGTTAATGGTGGTAAATTAATACAAACAAAATTAAATAACAAATTAAAAATTACTTCTAAATGTAAAAATGAATTTGCAAATAGTACTAATAAAAAATTAAAATTAAATAGCAAAATAACAGATTATTTTAAATCTAATTAGTATTTATTACCAATTAGAATTTTAAATATGTAATTCAAAATGTCTAAGCAATATATAGATAAAGAAACCTATAAAAAAGTGAAATGAGAAAACAAATGTTTTAAACTAATTAAAACCCAAAAAAAACGATATATTGATAAAGAAACTTATGAAGAAGTTAAACAAGAAAACAAATGTCTTAAAACACAATCCTTTAACTATCTTTCTCTATCTACTGAGCTGATTATAAATATATTTTGTTTTCTTTTCAAAGAAAGAATAACTCTATTGAATAAAACAGTTGTTAATTTAAAATAGGTTTCTAAACAATTTTGGTTAAATTATAAAATATTAATTAGATGGTATAGGACAAAATATAAATTTATTAAATGTTTTGATCCATTTCTTCATTTGCCACCTATTGAAGTACTATTTCAAATTTGATATACTACAAAGAATATCTGGGTGGATTTTAAAATTGGTGAAAAATAGTTTTATTCTCATTTAAAGCAAGATATTTTTAAGAAGTTTTTTTGTAAAGTGAAAAGAATCAAACTTACTACTAAATATAGTTATCTGGATTTTGTAGATATGAAAGAATTCGAAAGCTATAAAAAAACTTATTGTAATAGATGTGAAGAATTTACTTATTGTGCTGAATATGAATATAGTATAAAACATGATTCCACTGTTGATAATCTATTGAAAAATATGAATACCCCCAATAGATACGTATTTCATATTGGTGGTTCTATTTGGAAAGTATATAATTGTAATTTATATATTAATTGTAGAAAATATTTTGATCAAAAACACATTATTCGATTAGATAGATATTAAAAAATATATATTTGAGAATAACAATATTAGTTTGGATCATTATATTCATATAAATAATTTCTATATAAAAAATTAACAATCTACACGAATTATTAAATATCTTCAGACAAAATCTTTTAATCTTACTGAATTTAATAAATTATTACGACTTGTTACTACTATAGGTAGATATAAGACTTTTAATACTTCTAACTACAATTATAAATTGGAATTTGAAATTGTAGATGATATTATAGTTATAATAGAAACTATAACTAATAAAAATATAGTTGTTTATAAAAAAGATCATATTTTTTATTAATTTTATTTAGTTTAGACCAAATAGATTATAATTATATAAAATGAATTTGAATATAGGCATTGATGGGTTGTGTAGATCTGGGAAAACAACAGTTGGAAAACATTTAGCTAAAAAACTTGGATATACATTTATCGATAGTGGTGTCTTATATCATTATTTTGCAATGGTTTACTCTTTTCTTTTTGATGATTTAATTTACTTACAACTTAAAAGCAAAAAAAAGACAATTATCAATAATTCAGTATTTTATCTAGAAGAATTTAATCTTGTTTATAATCTTAATAGTGTATTATATTTAGAAAATAGACAAAGGGCAGTATCTATCGCACAAATAATGGAATTAGAAAAATAATAAATGAAATTATTCAAGGAATTACAATAAAAAAGAGATTTGTTGTAGTTGGATGTGATGTAACAACAAATATTCTTTCAAATGCTGATATAAAAATTGTCCTTATAGCTAATCTAATTACACGAATTAATAGAAGATGTGATGAAACTAAAAGCACAGCTACTGAAATTACTCGTGATATTATATCTAGAAATGAAAAATCATACAAATTTATTAAAAATGCAATTAAAGTTTCAATATTTATCGACACTATATATTTATCAATTAACCAAGTAGTTTTAAAAATCATATTAATAATATATCTTAAAAAATTTAAATTTTATTTTGTAA